TGACCAATGTCCCCCTTCACCCACTTTTTTTTCACCCTGGGAGGGGGTTATATGTAGATCATTTTGATCCGTTCTTCCTTTCTCCCACGCACCTTCCCCTTCCCCTCCTGGTATTGCTACTCTCATTATTGGTCCTGAGGGGTAATATGTTCAAATTCTCTGTGTTTCCAGCTCTTATCTGGACCTGTGTACATGCTCTGGTCTATCCCAATTTGTAAGGTACAATTGGGGTAATGATAATGTGGGAGGGGGGAGGAAGCATTAAAGAATTAGAGGAATGTTTTATGTTTCATTATTGCTATACTGCACCCTGGCTGATTTGTCCCTTCCTTGCGGCCCTTCTATAAGGGGAGGTCCAATTATCTACAGATGGGCTTTGGGTCTTCACTCCACATTCTCCCTCATTCACAATGATATGATTTTTTGTTCTTTGATGCCTGATCCCTGATCCAATACACACTTCATTATCACACAGGCTGGTGTGCTTCTTCCATGTGGACTTTGGTGCTTCTCAGCTAGGTGGCCTCCTGTTTATCTTCTAGTCCTAAAACCCCAGACACTATCTCTTTTGATAGCCGGACACGATCAGCTTTCTTTTGCTGATGTACCCTTTTTGTCTGCAATGATTGTGTCTAGAAGGTGAGCATCATGGAATGCCAGGTTATTAGGACAAAGTGTTCTTGTGTTGAGGGAGTACTTGAGTAGAAGTGCAATGTCCGTCTGAGACCTTGATATTTAACATATAAATATATGTACACAGATATATTTCCCTATCATTATATTCAAATATATTTACACATGTACATGCCCATATTTTGACCTTTATAAAAGCCCATTTGCATCCTAGTTCTTACCTCTGTTTCCTTTTAGTTTCCTCTTGTGCAATTGGGTAATATTTCTTGAAGTATTAAGTAACATCCCAAACTTCCATTTTAAAAAACCCGAATTAATTCTCATAAAATACATAAATATATCTACAAAAATATAATAAATCTGCTTATTGACATATTATTTATTAGC